GGGAAGGCTGCTCCAACTCATGCCAGGGAGGGCAAAGATTAAGGCCCTGTCTACACTCTAAAGTTGTCAACCCAAATCCACACACACACCCCCAGTGGTGTAGTTAAGCCGACCTCACCCCTGCATAGACATGGACGTAGCTACTGCTTCTGTGGGAGGCAGATTAACGGAGAGACCCTCCTATCGCTGCAGCAATGTCTACACCAAAGGGCTACGGCTCAGCCGTTGTAGCGTGGCGAATGTAGGCAAGCTCCTAAAGCCACCTACTCCCTGTCCCAACTGCAGGGACAGTGCAACTGAGCCATAGGCTTTAAAGAGTGGGGAGGCAGTAACTGGGCCTCAGGACACCTGGGTTCTGTTCGCACCTCTACCACTGACCTGCAGTGTGATGACTAGAGCAAGTCATTTCCTCTCTTGCTGCCTCAGTTTCCCCTCCCACCCTGTGTCTGTTTAAGCTGTGAGCTCTTCAGGTCAGGGACTGTGGGTCTGCAGTGCCCAGCACAACAGGGGCCCCAAGCGCAGTTCAGCTCCCAGGCGCTATCAGAATACAAATAATAAATGTGCTTCTGGGGCAGAGTTGTTCACTGAGGCTGTTCCCTAGCTTTTAACTCCACAGCCTTCATGCAAAGGGCTGTCTGGTATTGCCTAGGCTGGTTGGTGATTTCAAAGAAAAAAGTTTTCCCAGCTCCTGGAATGATTTGGCGCAACAGCCCTGAACTAGCATTCGCAGTGTGACGGACGGGCACTGAGGCTGGCACTGCCCACTCCACGAGGTGGCTGAACCTCCTGCATTGGCATAGTCACATGTGGGCTGGAGCATAGGGACTGTTTGAACAATCACAGAGCAAATGGTGCACAAGAGTCCAGAGCAGGAAGGCAGCTGGCGTGGTGGTGTGAAGCGAGGGGCTGTCGCTGCCTGTGCAGGGGTTATACACTGGCCACTCTGTCTTGCCCTAGTGAAAATAACCGTGTGTGTATCATGAGGGACAGAGTCAGGGTTTGGAGAGCAGCCCTGGCGTGGGGGTGGGGCTGAGTCAGACCCACTGAGTTGAGTGACAACCCCCCACCCCCTTTCTTTCTCCTGTTAGCCAGATCCCTCTCCAGGCCTGCTGCTCCTCCTGCCTCGGTTACAGACCTCCAGCTCAGCGATCTCTGCTCCTAGCTAGCTGGGGCTGTTTATAACAGGGATCCCGCGTGCCGGTAGCCACCTCTGGGGTGGGTTTATTGAAGCGGGGGGGGGGGTGAGTTTACAGCCCCAAACAAAGCATCTCATGAGTCTGATCTGGGATGAGTGTTGGAATAAATAAGGACTCTGCACACACCCACCCTTGTGATCCCCAGTCCTTTGCACTCACACTCTCCGTGACCCACATGGTCCTTCTCCCACCTGTAGATAAACTAGGCCCAAAGACTCGGCTGCTATTTCCACCAGGAGGGGACCAGCCTGGCTTTCTCCCCAAAACTCGTCGGGCAGAAGCTAAAGATGGATTCCGCCTCCATTGCCAGAGCCAAAGTGCAGTGTTCATCTCCCCCCCCCCCCCCGATCGATATCATGTGATCCCGCTGCCCCCAGCAAAGATACAGCAAGGTTAGAGCCAGTCCCCATTGGCTTCCTGGGGCAGGGATCGATGGGGCAGGGATTTAATCAGTTCTTAAACAAGCAGTTGGGGAGTATGGCTTGTTGGGGGGGGGGCAGTGACAGTGAGTTGGCAGCAGCAGCCTCTCCCCAAATCCCTCACCACTGAGAGCCCCCCCGGGATGCAAAGCCTTTCATGCCATCAATCCAGTCCCTCTGCCCGCCCAGAAGTTTTTGTTGGGTGATGTAATCAAGCTGCTTTGCACACATGGGGAGGTGGACTGTGGCTTCTGGCCCTGTGGGGCTCTAGCGGCAAGGAAATCTCAGCTGGCTCCATGGGAATGCCGGCGGCGTTGCAACTCATGTGCCAAGGCCTCACCCTTATGCTGAAGCATCAGTGATGTCTGCTTCACCCACGTCACTCTGATGTGGAGTCCGGCCTCCCCTCCTGTGCCGGGGGGCGAGTGGGATCGACAGGCCTCGTGCTGTTACCAATAGCAGGATCCAGCCCCCCCATCTTTCCATAGCGCCAAGGCCTTGTGCTGCCTGGGGCTTTCCGGGGGCAGTGTTCAGTGGCTTGGTTGCGGCCAGGAGCAGCAGTGTGGGTCTGGGGTGGGTGCAAAGCGTTCCACTCGCACAGGCTTTGTGCACACGTGTGGCTGGAAAGAGCCGGGGGTTAAAAAGCTGCATGGGGAGGGGGCTGGGCAGGAATAGCTGCGGGGGATGTGAGTCTCCCTGCGCTGCTGGCAAAAGCCCAAGCTGGGAGGGAATCAGCCAGGGTCCCTGCAGGCTCCCCCATGATCAGGTGGTGGCACACACAGGAGTGGGCCCTTCTCTGCACCCCAGACGCTCCCTGTGCAAGGTCACCCCGTGTAACAGCAGCCTCTGTGCCAGACAGGGCGGGGAACTGCTCCCGCTAGAGCAGCTCCAGCCCCTGACGCGCTGTCTCTCTGGTGCCACCTGGTGGCTGCCTGTGAGCAGCCGAACCAAATGCTTCGGTGGCAGGAGGAAAACTGTCACGACTGTCTTTGCACATGTGCCTTAAAACTGTGATTAGTCTCCTATTGGTCACGGGTGTAGCCAATGGGGAGGCAGGCGCTGGGTTCAAACCAGGAAGTAGCCTCCATGCGAGGGAGCAGCGGCTGGGCCTCCGATGCCTCCGTCTCTCTCCTTACCCAGCCTCAGCTAGGGGGCGGGGCGGGCGCCACGGTCGATGTTGCTGATTCTCCCTCCAAGGCCCTGCCATGGAGGAGGCTGAAGGACTTGCATCCCACCCCTGACATACGCAGGTTGCAATACACAGGTTACATTAATTACTGAAGATATGCAAGATGCACAGAGTTCCACATCATACAGTGATGCTCATTGCGAATTATGTTTTCCAATGGGCAGGTATCCCTTATCCCCTTCTATCCAACTGCAAGGAGGAGGCCACTCCAACATTAATCTATAGCTACCTTACTGAGTTGATGACTGTACTCAAGTATTAATATGTAAATAACTAAAACAAATAAAATACCAACTGAAATGTATTAATTTTTGGATGTTTTCCTAATTTTTCAATATTGATTTCAATTACAACACAAGTATAAAGTGCACAGTGCTCACTTTATATTATTTTTATTACAAATATTTGCACTGTAAAAATAAATGTATGAGGTGAATTGAAAAATACTAAGTACTGAAGTGCAATCTCTTTATAGTGAAAGTGTAACTTACAAATGGAGATTTATTTTTTTTAGTGACATAACGGCACTCAAAAACAAAATACTGTAAAACTGTAGAGCTTACAAGTCCACTCAGTCCTACTTCTCGTTCAGCCAGTTGCTAAGACAAACAAGTTTGTTTACATTGACAAGAGATAATGCTGCCTGCTCCTTGTTTACAAGATCATCTGAAAGTGAGAACAGGCGTGGCATGGCACTTTTGTAGTCGACATTGCAAAGTGGTTACATGCCAGATACACCCATTACCCACATACTGCATATATTTCATGTTATAGCAGTCTCGGATGATGACCCAGCATGTTTGTTTTAAGAACACTTTCACAGCAGATTTGACAAAATGTAAAGAAGGTACTGATGTGAGATTTCTAAAAATAGCTACAGCACTCGACCAAAGGTTTAAGACTCTGAAGTGCCTTCCAAAATCTGAGAGGGAGGAGGTGTGGAGCATGCTTTTAGAAGTCTTAAAAGAGCAACACTCTGCTGTGAGTCTGGTGGCACCTTAAAGACTAACAAATTTATTTGGGCATAAGCTTTCGTGAGTAAAAACCTCACTTCTTCGGATGCATAGAGTGAAAATGCCTGCATCTGTAACTTTCACTCTATGCATCCGAAGAAGTGAGGTTTTTACTCACGAAAGCTTATGCCCAAATAAATTTGTTAGTCTTTAAGGTGCCACCAGACTCCTTGTTGTTTTTGTAGATACAGACTAACACGGCTACCCCCTGATACTCTGCTGTGGAAACTACAGAACCCAAACCACAAAAAAAGAAAATCAACCTTCTGCTGGTGGCATCTGATTCAGATGATGAAAATGAACATGCGTCAGTCTGCACTGCTTTGGATTGTTATTAAGCAGAACCCGTCATCAGCATAGAAGCATGTTCTCTGGAATGGTGATTGAAGCATGAAGGGACATATGAATCTTTAGCACATCTGGCACATAACTATCTTGCGACGCTGGCTACAATACTGCCGTGCGATCACCTGTTCTCACTTTCAGGTGACATTGTAAACAAGAAGCAGGCAGCATTATCTCCTGCAAAATGTAACCAACCTTGTGTCTGAGTGATTGGCTGACCAAGAAGTAGGACTGAGTGGACTTGTGGGCTCAAGTTTTACATTGTGTATGGGGTGAATTGAAAAATATATTTTTTTGTTTTTTTACAGTGCAAATATTTGTAATAAAAAATAAATATAAAGAGAACACTGTATACTTTGTATTCTGTGTTGTAATTGAAATTAATATATTTGAATATGTAGTAAACATCCAAAAATAATTAAAATAAATTGTATTTTATTGTTAACAGTGCAATTAATTGCACTATTAATAGTGATTAATTGCTTGACAGCCCTAAAATGTATTAAAGATTTTTAAATGCTTTTCTACATTTTTGTAACCCGCAGCATTATCGCCTTTGCTTAGCTGAAGGACTGAGTGGACTTGTAGGCTCTAAAGTTTTACATTGTTTTATTTCTGAATGAGTTATTTTTGTACATAATTCTACTTTTGTAATTTCAATACACTTTTCTATGTTGTAATTGAAATCAATATATTTGAAAATGTAGAAAACAGCCAGACGTATTTAATTACAGGGTATTCTATTATTGTTTAATAGAGTGATTTTTTTTTAATTGCTTGACAGCCCTAGTAAGCAATATATACCAGAATCTATAGAGCAGACTTCTAAAGAGAGAGAGACAGACACAACTATTTTATTAATTTTTAGACTGAAAAAACAACACATCAGCTCTATGTACAAAAGAATAATGCAGGTTACTGGGGAGAGGCTTCATTCCACAAGAAGATCAAACTGCTCTGCTTCTTCAAACTGTGCATTCATTTGAGCAGCCCACTCATCCAGTTCAGATTTCTAGAGCAGAGGAAGTAAAAACAACAAAAAACTGTAATTATAACAAGCACAAGCTGATTGATACAGAGCAGCTAACAGAATGCAGGGGTACCTGCTCCAAAGATTTCCCCATCCCTCAACTAGAGCACTTGAGTGATACTAGAATTCCTTTGAGGTCTCCCACCTAAGCAGGCAGTACTCACATCAATCTGGGGGATCCTCCTTTTCTTCCGTTTCTCTTTGGGGAAGGAGATGCCAGGAATGTTTGTGTCCCATTCCTTAGTGGAGCCCAAGGCATTGGGCTCCACTGGAGTCTCCTGGGCAGGGGAAACCTTACCCACTGGAGACACATCGGCCAGTGCATCAGGCACTAGGAGCTTCTCAAAGCCAAAGAGTGAGCACTTCTTCTGGGTGAATGTGGGTGTGGACATGTCCAAGCTGGGTGAGGCATCCAAGCGGCTGTAGGATCGGCGCACTTTCTTAGACATCAGCACATCCCTCTCATCCTGAGGAGAGTCACATACATTGATGCTAACTGTAGACAGGGCAGCCTTCTCCACCAGGCCTGAGGCATTGGCAGGGAGAGATGATGCTAAGACTGGGTTAGCATCAGTGCTTCCACAGCCTTTGGCCTCGCTGCTTTCCACTGGGAAGTTCTCCTTTCCTGCCTTCTGGGAGATCTGCAAGGAAAGGAGATGGAGTTTATCCCTTTTTCTCCCTCACCAATACAGCTAACCTATGGAACTCCCAGCCGCCCCCCTACCCCCACTGGCGGGGCCAATCAACACTTCAGTCTCAGGGCTGTCTAAAGGAAGTAGCTCAGCTCATATTTACTTTAAGTTAAAGCAGGTCTGTCAAAGTTCAAGGTCTTCCAAGTCTGAGGCTAGTGCCCTAAGTCACTGGGACCATCCTTCCCCTGATATCCAATATACTAGCAAAACCCAAAGGAGAACATAGACACTTACCCTGGGGCTGCGCCGTGGAGTCCAAGCAGTACCAGTCATCTTGGAGGAACAAATGAATTCAATTAGTGTGTAGCCAAAAGACTGTGGGAGGACAAGGGGAGGAGGGGTGCAAAGCAAGACAAAACATTTGAACCACACTGAGGCTAGACGTGCACATACAGAGCATGGACACTCTTATGGTGTGTTTAGAAATACCAGACCCAATGCTACTTGTTAGGACACTCATAAAAATCCGATCATTTCCCAAACATCAGATGTCTCAGTTCAGAACTTGACAACTCTCAGAAGTGGGTGTCTGGGATGAGATATGTGCTCAGCAACACATAGGGAATGTAACTCGACAGGCTGTCAGGTATATAATTATGCCATATCACCACAGTGGGGCTTTTCATTTTACTCCACGCCAGCTTAAGGAATCAAGGATTAATAATTGAAACAAATGTTTCAAGGTTACAATAACTTACGCATGGGGTTTGTTCTGCTTCAGTCAAAGCAACAGCAGGCTGGAAGGCAAAATAGAAATTAATACAATTTACACCAGCCAAACAAGTCACATCAGCCACAAAAATGATTTTTTGGGGGGCGGGGGGAGAGAGAGGAGGAGGAGAAAACGCCTGACAGTTGGATACAAACTAAACTGACTGAGCTCTTTATCAAAAAGATGGAGGAGTTACTTACCTGGTATAGTAACTTGAATTCTTCAAGATGTCGCCCCCTAGGGGTGCTCCACATCAGGACACACGTGGACTCTTGACCAGAGATTTGTGTCCACAGCTCCACGCTTGCACCGCAGAGATTCTTGTGCCCAGATCTGAGGGTGTATAAGGAGGGGCGGACCTGAGCCCACTCAAGTTCCTTCTCAATCACAAAAGTCCCAAGAAAGAGACTCTTGAGGCCAAGGGGAAGGAGAGCAGGTAGTGGATCACCCACAGGGGGAGACATCTCAAAGTGAGGCCCCAATGCGAGGAAGTGGATTCAGTACTGCTCGAAGGACAGCACCACCAAAGGCTGCATCGGTCCTGGAATAGGGCACAAGAGAGTAATGCTGGTAAAATGTGTGCGGCAAAGACCAGGGGGCTGCCTTGCAGATGTCTGAGATGGGTAAATTTTTGAGAATGGCTACAGAGGTAGATTGAGCCCTGGTGGTACAAGCAATAACTTTTGGAGAGTGGGATGAACCCCTGAAAACTCACAGCATGATAGAACACAACCTGAAAACTGCATGGACAGTTTTTGGGTGGAGATCGGATGTCCCTTAATTTGTTCTGCTACAGAGGTGAAGAGTCAAGGGGAAACCTGAAAAGGGCCTAGTCCTGTCGAGGTAAAAGGCAAGAAATAAAGTGAGGTCTCATGGCAGAGTTAGTTCCTTGATAGGAGGGAAGATGTTGAATAGGCCTTTGATAAATCTTGCAGTGGTGGGGTGGGGCAAAGACTGAGAACCCTTCTCTGGGAAGGTAAGAAGCTGTGATGGCAGCTAGGTGAACTTTGATGGAGCTCAGCAATAAGTCTGTGGTTTTTAAATTCAGCAGGTAATCGAGATTGTGAGGTAAAGAGCATTTTACAGGAAGTAGAGACATCAAGTAGTCACGCTTTGAGAGGAGGGCTGCAGAAAAGCGCTCACACTTGTATGCAATGTGATAGGCACTAGTACCATAGTTTTATTGCTTTGGTGCACAAGGACTGGGATCTTGCTCCTCCATGCTGATTGATGTAACACTGCTACACTGTTGTCCTTAATGTATAGTAGGAAGTGATGGCAAGTGCAGCTGGCTGTTCTGAGCTCCAATATGTTGATATGGAGGATCGCCTCCTGAGTGGTCCATTTGCCCTGAACTGTGAGGTTTTGGGAGTGTGCACCCCAACATGTGACAGTCATCTGTGGTGATGATCTTCATTGAAGGATGCTGTACAAACAGAGCTCCCAAGAACACTTTTTGTGGGTCCTTCCACGAGTTCAGATAATCAAGGCTCTTCTGAGGTACTGACGCCCGCTTGGCTAGGTTGTGTCTGTAGGGGGTGTCGATGGTTCTCAACCATGTTTAAAGACACCAAAAATGGGAGTCGTGAACATACAGATTGCCACATGGTCCATATCTTCACAGTGGTTAGTGGACTCTGTTGGATTATTGAAACAAGGTTGGACACGGGAGTGAATCTGTCCCTGGATAAGTATGCTCTGGTGGAAGGAGTCCAGAGTGGCCCAGATTAAGTCTATATGTTGTGTGGGTGTTAGGTGGAGACCCAGCAAGTGAAACAGAGACGGTCTTGCTGGTTGCTCTCTGTGCTTTGAGAAGTGAGCGGCCTTTCAGGAGCTAGTCATCTAGGCAGGAAAAGATGATAATGCCTATCTGGCAAAGATAGGCTGCTGTGGCTGACAAAACTTTGTTAAAGACCCTTGGATGGGGAGGGGAATGGTGGAGAGGCCGAAGATTAGGACGCAATGCTGGCAGCGTCCTTGCCTACCACAAAACATAGGAATTGTTTGTGTGAGGGATGAATGACACCATGAAAATAAGGTTGAAGGACACAACCAAACTAATCTCCCAGATTCAGAAAGGGAAATATTGTTGCTAGGGTCATCATACTGAACTGTTGGGAGCTAATGAAGATGTTTAAAATCCTGAGGTCTAGAATTGGTCTCCTCCACCCACCTACCCACTCCCATTTTCTTCACGACGAGGAAGTACTGAGACTAGAACCCTTTCCCAATGAAGTCCAGTGGGACAGTTTAGATCATCCCCAGAACTAGGAGGGATTATACCTCTTGTCTTTGTGGAGGGAAGTAAAGGGGTCCCTGAAGAGGGACAGGGAGTGGGAAGGAGCTCAACTGGATGGAACAGACTATGGAAATTACTTCTAGAATCCATCTGTCCAAGATGATGAGCTCCCAGGAAGGTAGGGAATGGAGGGGAATAGATGCAACATAGGATGCAACGGACATTTTGAAGTCATTGCTGGCTGGGACATTGCTGATGGAGAAGGCCCTTTCTTAGGGAATTTGTGCTTCTTCCAGGGAGGTCTCCTGGGCTGGTAGTGGACTGGGCAAGATCATTGAGCCGTCTGCGACCTGCTGTATTTTCTTTTCATTGCAGGTGTACATAGAGATGCCCAGAGATTTTAGTGTCGCCCGGGAGCCCTTGAGAGATGGGGAGGGACCCATCTGTGCCATCACTAAACAAATTGAGGCCTTCAAAAGGAAGGTCCTTTATAGTATTTTGTACCTCCTGGGGATGGCTAGAAGACCGTAGCTAGGAAGTTGGGTGTATGACTACTGCTGTAGTCAGGGAACGTACAGCTGTGTCGGTAGCATCTAGCGAGGCTTCTTCTGCAACAAGGACCTGAAATTGTTCTCTGTGCTCCTGAGGCAAGTGTTCATTAAAAGATGGAATTTTTGAATAGACAGTCAAGTCATATTTGGCCATCAGGACTTGATAATTGGCCACTCTGAACTGCCAGGGGGCTGAGGAGTGCTTCTTAGGGTCCAGAAGGTCCAGTCGTTTTAGATCCTTATCAGATGTTGTGGAACAGAACTGATGTTGCCTGGTCTGTTTGTTAGCAGCTTCCGCCACCAGAGAATTGGGAATCAGGATAGGAGAAAAAAAAATACTCAGTCCTGCAGGGAGGAGGATGTAATACTTTTTGTCAGCTTGTTTACACATAGGTGGGACAGTGGCTTCAGTTTGCCACCATCCATGCTGAAGTAAGCAAAGCTTCCTTGCTGAGCAAAGCAGTCTTGTCCTGAGGAAGTGAATGAAGGCTATTCCAACATGGAGTGTTGGGTCTCCTAAATCTCCTCTAATAAGACATATAAGGTGCCTGCTACCCTTTTCATGAGTTCTTCAAAGGCCTTGAAGTCATTAGGCTAGAATGGGGGGCAGGGGACGGGGGGGGGGGGGCTGTCACAGCCTCATTTGGTGATAAGGAAGATTTGTGGGAAGGTGATGTTTCTTCCTCTTCCACTGATTCCTGCTCTGGGGGAGGTATCCAGGGGTGGCAGGACCTAGGGGCATTGGTTGATGATCCTTATGTCCTCTTTTGGGATGGGACCCTTTAGAAACGGTCACCTAAGGAGTAAGCCCATTGTGGTGGGACTCCAAGGTTGTCCTTGCCATGGTAACCGGGTGTACTTCCTGCTATGAGCTCCTTCTTCAGTGTGAATCTCTAAGGAGGGAGGTTGGAATGGGGAGGAACCATATACAGACATTTCTGAGTCAGATGAGGTGTTATCCTCTGTATCCACTGGGGGGTGGTCAGGGGTGTAGGTACTGGTGGTCAGGGTGGTACCAGGCCCTGGGAAGAGACCTGAACTTGTGTCAGTACTGAGGTTAGAAAGGGAGGCTGGTGAGGTGGTGCAGGAGAATGTTATAACGGTACGAGCTGAAAGTATTTCTCAGAGCCCTCAAAGATTGCACAGGGAATGTGTCAGTACCAGTTGAAGAAATGGACAAAGGGTAAGTAACAGTGGGGAGTATCTCTCAGTACCTCTTAATAACGGTGATTTGGGCTCTTTGAGGATTCAGAGGTCCTCATAACATAGGAGCCTGGATGGTACTGGGGCCTGCACATGTGGTTCCTAACGGACACCGTGATGCTCCATCTCAAGCCACAGACAGTTGAGAAGGAACTGGAGTGGCAGCAGGTCCATCTCCCCCATATACTCTTGTAATGGGCACTAGGGTGTCTGGGGTGCAGACCCACGGACACTGTTGACAAAAATCTCCAGTGAAGAGCGCACGGGCGTGTACGTATCCAGACATGGAGCACCTATAGGGACGCTTCTTGAAGAAGAACAAGAGGTGACTCAATTACGGCATATAAATACTTTCACCAGGAAAAAAATCCCAGGTACTAAAGGGTTCTTTAGCAGCCTGGAGGAGAAAGGCAGAATAAGAACCAATGGCTGGAAGTTAAAGCCAGACACAATCCAATTAGAAATGAGCCACGCCCCAGCCTTTTTTTTTTTAAATAGAAGGTGATTAACTGGATCAAACTCTGAAGGGAAGTGGTGGATTCTCCATCTCTTGATATCTTTTCTGGAAGATGCTTTAGTCAGACAAGTTATTGGGCTCAATGCAGTGGTAACTGGGTGAAATTCTCTGGCCTGCATAACAATCCAGGTGATCTAATGGTCCCTCTGGCTTTAAGATCTATAAGGTGGGCTACATAGATTAGAAAATAGCTTTCAAAATCCACATCCACATCATCCCAGTTTCCCAAATTCCTGATTTTTCCTGTATTGTAACAGTTGAGAATCTCTTTATGAGATGTGGCAGTCAGAATAGGCATATTTTCAGTCTAAACTGGTGCTCACACAGTAGCTGCGCCATTAATAACTTCTCCAGACAAGTAGCAGTACAATATACACTAAGAAATGTAGTGTTGGAAGGGATCTGTCATCTAGTCCATCCACCAGCGCTGAGGCCGAACCAAGTAAACCTAGTAAACATTCCTGACAGGTGCTTGGCTAACCTGTTTTTAAAAACCTCCAATATCAGGGGTTCCACAGCCTCCCTGGGTAACTTATTAACTATCCTTAGGGTTAGCAAGTTTTTCTTAGTATCTAACCTGAATCTCCTTTGCAGCACATTAAGCCGATTACTTCTTGTCCTGCTTTCAGTGAATGTGGAAAACAATTGATCACTGGCCTCTTTATAACAGCCCTTAATATATTTGAATATTGCTATCAGGTCCCCCTCAGTCTTCTTTTCTCAAGACTAAACATGCCCAAGTTTTTCAATCTTTCTTCATAGATAGGATTTTATCATTTTTTGTTCCTCTCCTCTGGACTCTCTCCAATGTGTCCTCATCTCTTTTAAAGTGTAGCAGCCAGAACTGGACACAATATTCCATCCAAGACCTCGCCACTGCCAAGCAGAGTAAGCCAATTACCTCCCAAGTCTTTCATATGACATTCCTGTTAATACACCCCAGAATGATATTAGCCTATTTGCAAATGCACTACACTATTGGCTTATATTGAATTTGTGATCCACTAGAACCCCCAGATCCTTTTCTGTAGTACTGTACTACGACCGAACAAGTTATTCCCCATTTTATATTTGTGCATTTGATTTTTTTCCTTGCTAAGTGTAGTACTTTGCTCTGAAATCAACAAGATGAAATTCAGTAAAGACAACTGCAATTTATCAGGGCCATTTGAATTCTAATCCTGTCCTCCAAAGTTCAATCCCTCCTAGTTTGGTGTCTGTGACGCATTCTATATGATTTTATGAAAATATGCTAATGAGTGTGAATATAAATATGCTTCATGCAAAAGGTCTCTTGTAAGATATCATTACAAAGCTTATAATCTACTGAGTGCGGTCATCCTATTTGTATAAATGTACCACTTTTAGAAATATGAAATATAACTCTAAGGGCCTATTGTAATTATGCAAAGTGTGGGCCATTAATGTTGGTTTGGAATCTTGATGACTCCCATTAACCAGGACAATTGACTGCAGATGGCTGTTTTACAGTACTTGCAAGTCTTCCTGTATACGTGTGTGCTGGCAAGTGGGTAATGAAGGCTTACAGTGACATGTGATCATGTCACCTGAACTGGAATCCATCTTTAACCTGGTGCCTTTCCATTGAGAAGGAGGGGTTGGGAACTAGGGTGACCAGATGTCCCGATTTTATAGGGACAGTCCTGATATTTGGGGCTTTTTCTTATATAGGTGCCAATTACCCCCCATCCCGATTTTTCACACTTGCTATCTGGTCACTCTAGTGGGAACCCAGAGAGGGACAAAGGATTCAGCACTTTATGCACAAGATATATAAATGGGTGGAACAGAACAAAGAGGGCTGCCATCATGAGGAATCCCCTAGCTACCACCTGAGCTGGAACAAGGGCTGTACCAGGGAAAGGATTGTGCCCAGATTAGGAGGCGTCCAGTCTGTGAAAGAAACGTATTGAAACATCTCTGAGGGTGATCTCTTATCTGTATTCAGTTTCTTACTGTATTAGACATAGACTTGCATGTTTTGTTTTATTTTGCTTGGTAATTCACTTTGTTCTGTCTGTTACTACTTGGAACCACTTAAATCCTACTTTCTGTATTTAATAAAATCACTTTTTACTTATTAATTAACCCAGAGTATGTATTAATACCTGGGGGGCAAACAGCTGCACATCTCTCTCTCTCAGTGTTATAGAGGGCGAACAATTTATGAGTTTACCCGTATAAAGGGTAAAACGGATTTATTCGGGTTTTAGACCCCACTGGGAGTTGGGCATCTGAGTGCTAAAGACAGGAACACTTCTGTAAGTTGCTTTCAGTTAAGTCTGCAGCTTTGGGGATGTGGTCCAGACCTGGGTTTGCAGCAGGCTAGCGAGTCTGGCTCAAACCAGGCAGAATGCTGGAGTCCTAAGCTGCCAGGGCAAGAAAGCAGGGACAGAAGTCGTCTTGGCACATCAGTTGGCAGCCCCAAAGGGGTTTCTGTGATCCAACCCATCACAGTGTCATGCACAAATGTTATAAGCATACTCTCCGCTCCATTATCTGAGTCATTAATAAAGTATTGAATAGTACCTGACCCAGGACAGATCCCCGCAGGACCCCATTAGATAGGCTCTCCCAGTTTGACAGCGAACCATTCATAACTACTCTTTGAGAACAAAAACTGGACACAGTCTTTCAACCAGTTTTGCACCCAACTTATCGTAATTTCATATTTCCCTAATTTGCTTATGAGAATGTCACATGAGACTGTATCAAAAGTCTTACTAAAGTCCAAACATATCGCACCTGTTGCTGCGCCCCTATCCACTAGGCCCATTATCTTTCCAAAGAAGGAAATTAGGTTGCTTTGGCATGATTTGTTCTGAACCCCTGCATTCTGTTACCTAGCTACAATAAATATCTGCTGAGACGCACTAGTCCCTAAAGAGTGTACAAGTCTCTACCAGGAGACTATCTCAGTTGGACTTGCTGGGCACAGCTCACAATGTAGAGCAGAAGTGCTGGAGCCCAGACACTCAGTCTAGGAGGCAGTGCAGCCTACCTCGGAGAAAGGAGTGGGACTCCTTAGGGATCTGCCACGCTAAAGGGGGGCTTTCCAAGAGACTGTTTAAAAGCTGGGGTGTAGCTGTGGATCCATGACAGAACCTACCTACCAGTTTTCTGAGTTTGCTGAAGTCTGATTTTTAAAGTCCATACATTAAATGAACAAAGATGGAATTCATTCCAAGTCAGATACAAACATCTCAGCTTCATAATGGGTCGCGGGGGGCTGTTGTCTAATGGTCAGAGCAGTGGACTGGAAATCAGGCTTTCTGGGTTCTCTTCCAGTTCTGGAAGGCAGTGTGTCTAACGAGTACAGAAAAAGGGCGGGGAGCCAGGACTCCTGGGTCCTATTCACAGCCTTGCATGATCCTGCCCAAGTCATTTAAGCACTCTTTGCCTCACCTGTAACATGATACAGAAAACCTGCTGCAGCGCCAGAACTAATAGTCGGTGTCCTGCCATCCAGCCCACTCTGCTCTAAATGCTAGCTAGCACTCCTTTCCAGAGCCGGAAACAGAAACAAATGAGGTTTGCCTTTCCTTTCTCAATGGGCTATGTTGGAATTATTAATATTGATATGGGAAACCACCAAACACTAATTTAACCATAAATTACTTTATTAAATCCCAAGGCCAAATGATATTTATACAGTTGATTTAAACGTGCCTAAAAAGTCTAACTAGTAAGCAATTTACTGCATCTAAACAGTAACAAAACATTTATGAACTTTTGATAGAGATACTTATAAATGGGCTAAACCCAGGGGGTGCTTAGACCCATATTGATCAGTTCCAGTGTGGTTAGGCAGGTATTAGCAATGAACCCTTTAAACATTTACTTTTTATACCCTTTATCAAACAAGCGATGTCATTGCCAATTACTGACTTCAGCTAAAAATCAATTTGAGACTATTCACCCTTATTCCAAGTCTTATCCAGATAAGATTTACAGCCTCCTTTCTTCACAAGGCCTTTTCTTTCTTATCTTCTCTCCCCACCTCCTCCCTTGCTTACTAGCACAACAGTGGGAAGGTTTGGGCTTGTTTCTTTTAAGACAGTTTTTCTTTGTCTTGTTACTGCAGCTCTTTATTTTATTAGTTACTTTTAAAACCATACAACCTTCCCACACCACAAGTAATACTAATTATTTTCATGGCCTTCTTTTACTTGCTGTTTGGGGCCTTCTTTAACTAACTAAAAGCCTTCCCCCCACCAAGATTTGAAAGTATCTTGTCCCCTTATTGGTCCTTTGGGTCAGGTGTCAGCCAGGTTACCTGAGTTTCTTAACCCTTTACAGGTAAAAGGATTTTGGAGTCTCTGGCCAGGAGGGATTTTATAGTATTGTACACAGGAGGGCTGTTACCCTTCCCTTTATAGTTATGACACGCCCCCCAAATCACAGATAGTGTTGGACAGCCGGTTCCACACTGTCTGTGATTTCTTCCTGCAGCTCTAGGAGAAAACAGAGTTAATAAGACACATGCACCTTTAGACATACTACTGATTACTCACTCACACCCACACACCCCTTAGCCAAACGTATGCTAACTTTAGTTCTGTATTCTTGTACTTATCCTACAGGCTGGAAAGCGATGCTTGGTCTGTGGCTGGTTTGGAGTTGGGGAGTATAATCAAAACAGATTTCAGTTCATGTGCATACACAAACAACAGCGACAGGAAGGTTTGACTCACAGACCTGCTGTTTTCGGGGCATGATCTTTTTCACCATGATCGATCGCTTCACCACTGGAGCTGGAAGCTACATAAATAGGATAAAAGAGACAAGACTTATTATTTGTTTCTTGTACTGTAGCAGAGCCTAGGACCCCATTTCGCTACATGATGTACACAGAACTACAAAAATGGCCCCTGCTTCACAAAGCTTCCAGTCCAAGCATAAGACAAAAGAGAGATGTGCTCAAGGAAAGAAAGGTCAGACTGGAACACAATCATCGTTGACGACCCACAGCTGTAGCTCATTGAGCTAGCTTTAGCATTTTATTTTACTTAACAGTAACGCAAGGAACTTACAGGCCTGTATCCTGTAAGACATTAGCTTAACCTGTTACCATAATAAGGCTTTGAGGCTCATGAACTGTGTTATAGATAAGTGGCCCGACAGTGACCCTGAGGTTTGGGGAACTGGGAATAGTGTGCTTAAAGCAGAGAGTTTGTACAACGTAATACCAGGTAACCACAGGAACACTGAACTGATACTAGATTTGGATATTTTAGGATAAAATGTTGGCAAATGCTTAACTGCAAACTGGCCTTGGCAACGAATTGATGTATATGACAATTAGCTGAAACCATTACTATACTAATCCATAGGATAAGGACACCCCAACATAATTAGGGTGAGGAAGTTAGATATGGACAAGGGAGGCTGGGCATTTGTGTGGCTCTGTAACAGGCCAGACCATCATGTAACGGGATCTGGACCATCAGACTTCTTTGGCATGCCAGAGACAGAGCAGGACCGTTGTCTCTTACCGCCAACTTCCCAAGGAAGGGTGTGAGTACATATGCAAGGAATGGTACAAAAGATAAAGTCGAGATGGTTCTTCTACCTCTCCTGAGGGTCCAGGTGGCAGAAGCTCTTAAGCAGCTTTCCTGGTAATCAGCCTGTGACCCAGGGACCCCGTGATGCCAACTGGCAGGGGGAACGGGGCAGAGAGGTATAGCATTTTTACAGGGATCTCCTGGGTCAGACGGCTGCATAGTAGTTCACACCAAAGGGTGGCATATGAGGTAGCCCACTGGCCATCATAATCATTACAGAACGTATGAACAGATATTGAAGAAGTTATGTATCTACACTGAAAATTATGCTATGAAGGTTTTGGAGTTAAGGCAGGCCAACAGAAGGTGACATACCTTGGAAATGTTCCTTTCAGGTAGGAGATAAACACCTATCTCCCCGTCTAGCCATTTGTATACTGTTTGCCTGTTTGCACACTGAGCTAAGTACACACTGAAAGTTTGTGAAATCTACAAGAGAGGAAATCTCCTCTGCACAGTGTAACAGAGAGCAGGGGATGTCCTGTTTACAAATAAAGACAAAGGATTGTTCTGGGATATCTTAGGGTGAAAAGGAACACACTGAATCTTTCATCTAGCACAGGGGTTTTCAACCTTTTTCTTTCTGAGGCCCCGCCAACATGCTAAAAAAAATTCCGCAGCCCACCTGTGCCACAACTACTGTTTTTCTGCATATCCAGTAGATTAAAAGCCAGGGTTGGTGTTAGGGGGTAGCAAGCAGGGCAATTGCCCAGGGGCCCTGTGAAGTTAAGTTGTTCTGGCTTCAGCTTCAAGCCCCCGGCGGGGCTCGGGCTTCAGCTTTTTGTCCTGGGCCCCAGCGAGTCTAACGCCGGCTCTGCTCTCTGGTTTATTTTGGCAGACCTCCTGAAACCTGGCTGAGAACCACTGATCGAGCAGGCGGACTGACAGCGTGCTGTCTCATGAAAGGAGGGTCCCAGCCAGCCTGGCTGAAAAGCTGTACAAGGATTTTGGGTGAGCAGTACTCCACCAGACATGACAGTATCTTGTTAATTAAGTCTAGGTCTGGAACGTGTGTTATGATTTTATTTTATATATCACCATTTGTTTCCAATACTTGTACTTGCTACTATGGTTTGTTAAATAAATTTATACTTGATTTCACTATAAGCATATCTCAGTGCTGTGTATGAAGCAGAGCGGTGATCCTCAGGTGGAACTGGTAAGCTGGGCTGTACTGCTTCTTTGAAAGCAGCAAATCTGTGAATACTGCGAGTGTCCAGAGGAGCAGGAGCTGGTGACTCCAGGGAGACACTCAGAGGGCTTGAGTGTGCCAATTGCTAGCTTGTGGAGTAACAGCAGGGCCTGCGAGGCCCAAAGGGGAGGGTTTGTGTTGCCCATGGCCGGTGAAGTTGGGGAGGCTTGGAAACAGGTAAAGAAAAAGGTTATGGTTTGTTGTTTTCCATTGATTTACTATGGGTAAGGGAAATAGAACATAAAGGACAGGATGAGTAAGCCAGAGACATGCCAAACATACCAAACCACAGTTGGAAAAACTGTGCACAGATCATAGCCTGGAAGCTACAGGGAAAATAGTAGAGGGGATAAAAATCTCTATTCATGCAATATGATAAGCATCATGGAGAACTGATTCATCCATCAAAATTACCTGAAGTTGAGTGGGAGGTGCAGGCTTAGGAAACCAGCCTGGCACAGGTCCCAGAGGGGCAGCCCTTCATTTAGAACTGGCCAAGAGGGAGATCATAAACGGGAAGCAGCAGAGAAAGCCAAAAAGCGGAAAGCAGAGGAGTGAAAGCAGGTCACAGAAGTTAAAGGAAGGGAGAAGGAAAGGCACCACAAGCTTAAAAAACAGAACTCTCAGCCCACAAGTAATCCTCCTTGGGATCACCCACTGCCTGAGTTACAAGGAGAGAGAGTCCACTGAAGAATATGGCCACCTTTGAAAGGATAGGCAGGATGCACAAAATCCCTGCTGAACAGACTTGCCCATCTTACCTCCCAAATTGACTGGCAAAGCCTTATAAATATTTAATCCAGTCATTCTCAACCTGCAGCGAATGGGCTGCTTGCGGCCCAATGAGCACACAGCTGCCCATGTGACATCCTGAGGCCATACAGGGAGTATATAGTGTGGATGTGGCCCACATAACACACTGAAAGCTGCATATGTGGCTTACGGTGGTAAATAGGTTGAGAACAACTGGTTTAATTATGGAAATAATGCTATGTTGTATGATTGGTTTAAGGAGTCGGCGTTAGAAAAGTTTCAAATTACCCCATAGATATATCACCTAAAGTGTAGAAATCTAACAACTGGATAACAGGAAATATGGTGAAAATGGATGAAAAGTAAAAGGGGAGAAAATGATCACCGGTTGGTAGATCTATTTGCTCAGGCGCAGTTCTTTGGTGTCTGCTCTAATGAGGTGAGGGCAGAGGTGTGGGAAATGGCACCAGCAACTGTGGAAGAGGCAGCCAGTGCTGCTGACTTATACCTGCAAGCGAGACCATTCCTAGAGCACAAGTCCCAAAAGGAAGGGCAAAAGCCTGGGATAAAAGGGAGACCCTGGTTTGTTCCTAGGGAAAAGGAAGAAGGGGGGGGAGGAGGAGAAGCACATGCAAGTCCAGTACAGGACCCCTCCTGGTAACCCTAATGATCAGATCCCAGCCTGAGGGAACAGTCCAAAGTATTTTCTGTTATGTGGGTCCCTAGAACACACGCACAAACAATGGGGAGTCCAAATACAATGCCTGATCTATCCAAGTTAATGCAGCTACCCTCAGTTCAGAGCCTTCAGTGATGCCAAAGGGGGTTCTAGTTAAATTTTGTGCAGTCTGACCTCCTGGAGGTAGATAAAGAGTGTATTAGGGAGGCCAAGGTAAATGGCCAAATGTGCCGGGGAGGATCGACATTTGGGGTGGAGAGACATCATCACATATGTCATTAAGGAGGTAGATATGCTCCCGGGAAAGAGGTAAAACTCCTGGCCTTGGGGCAGTTTAGAACCAGGGTGTCTTTAGCTCCCATTGAATTAGAGTGGGAAGGCTTAAGGGGTACTTTGAACGTAGGAGTTTTTAAGAATTTACTGGCTGATGTATTGGTGGGAAATGACAGAATATCACTGGCCAAGGCTATTAGTATTGTGTCCCAAAGGTACCAGAGGTAAATGCTGTGGGGGGCGGGGAGGGGTGTGCATGTGAGAGGCAACCTAACGAGCAGAACTCAGCAATGTGTCTAAAGGGGAGGGAAATGAGGAGTCGTCCCCTCCTTACCTGAGACAGCTCTCGGTACAAGCAAGAGCCAAATGGAGTTTGCTGCAGAACGAACAGCAGACATCTCCTGGGGGAGCATAAGGGAGGCCATCCTCAGTAATGACCCAGATAGAGAGTACAGCAGGAGGCCTTCAGAAGAGGGAAGGATTTAAAGGGAAGCCTCGGTTGGGGAAAACAGAAGTCCCGGGGGGCCCTACAAATAATCATTCCCACGAAGTATTGTGTGGAGTTAAAGCTTAGCCCAAAACTGCCCTTTCGCTGGTCACTTAGGAATGGAGAAGACATATGAAAGGCTAAAGAAAAATTTCTATTGGCCCCATATTCAAAATGAAGTAGAGGAATACTGCAAGCCTTGTGACTTCTGTCTCTGCCATGCTCCTTTGCATCCTCTACTGGCAACTGAAGCAGCATTTTTCAGGCTTGCTATGAACATCATAAGGCCTGTACCCAGACCAACTCAGAGGGGGAAAATGTATATTATTGGTGGTGGATTTTGTTACCAGGTATCCAGAAGCAGTTGCTCTGTCAAATGTGGGAGCTGAAACTGTTGCTAAGGCACAGTTCTCCATATTCAGCAGGTGGGCTTTCCAAAAGAGGTCTCATCAAATAGTGGATCAGATTCCATGTCCCAGCTATTTGGAGATTTATGAAGAATGTGTGGGGAAAAATACCACCCAGAAACAAATGGATTAATTGACAGGTTCAACTGGATCCTAAAATCCATGCTAGGAATGGAAGAGTAACACTACATCCCTGTTTACTATCTGTTTGCATATCAGGAGGTGCCCCCAGAGTCCATGGGGCTTGCCCATTTGACCTCCTGTATAGAAGAATGGTCAGAGGTCTCCTGGATCTCATTAGACTCCTGGGAGGGGGCACTGAAGCAGAGGGGGGAACCGGTGACTGAATATGTTCAGGGAGGATTTAAAATCCATGATGGGGATAGTGCAGCAAAGCCTCACTTTTTAAAAGCCATGTTGCTCAGAAAGAATGATCTGATCACAATACCGGTGATCAGTCATTTCATGTGGGGGATTTAATACTGGTGCTAGACCCTGTAAATAAAGTACAAAATGAAAAACTCATGGGAGGGGCCTTTTGAGGTGGTAGAAAGGGTTTAATGATGTTACCTAGAATGTCCAAAGGCCCAACAGAAAGGTAGCAGCTCAAACGGCATATAAATAAGTTAAAAGTGTATCACGATCATACATACCACTTGGGAATTGTGGTGAAGAAATTCAGATATGCAGGTCTCATAATTACAGCATCAAAGTGTAAGACGGGGCAGTCAAAGTCCCTTATCTAGGTCACTGGATTGGAGGGGGTCAGATCCCTTGAAAGTGGAAGCCATTGTTAACTGGCCTGTGCCCTGTACCAAAAAGCCTGTTGAGTTCTCCAGGATGGGAAATCGAGCTTTTCGGGGCTGGTATAACCTACTCCAAACTCTCCCACCGCTGGATTTTGGAACTAACAGGGATGCATTATTACTCACTGGGCTCCCCACCATCTTCTTCTCCACCAAAGGTTTCCTCTGGGAATCACGCCTGGTAGGAGACCCTGCAATCCTCTCGGACCTGCGCCTCGGAGGAGGGGAGACAGCGTCTGAAATTGAGGGAGAGAGAAAAACTTTGAAAGCTGGTTGTTCTCATTGCATGTGGAAGCCCCTTCATCCAAACTACCAATGTGGGGACATTTAACTGCTTCTCAGTACTTTCCTACCTCCTGGTGTTTGCCTTCTTATAGGCATAAGATGTTAGGAAGCTGTGAAACACCCTCCAGTCCTGCATCCTACCCCAAGGAGTTCTCTAACCTGAGGGAGACATTCCCATGCACCTTGCTCCGCCAATGGAACCCCCTCTCCCCACATCCTGATTCTCCAGGACCCCCCTCCCAGCCCTTAGGAAACATGCCCTCAAATCCTGAGAGAATCACTTCCTCCTCAGACCCTGCTCCCCAAGCCCATCAGCACTCCCATGGAGAGGAATCCCATGCACCGCTAAAGGCTGGGGACCCGACTGGCTAAGCAGCAGTTCTGCAGAAAAGGACTTGGGGATTACATTGAATGAGTCAGCAGTGTGCCCTTGTTGCCAAGAAGGCTAATGGCATATTAGGCTGAATTACTAGGAGCTCCGTCAGCAGATCGAGGGAAGTGATTATTCCCCTCTATTTGGCACTGGTGAGGCCACATCTGGAGTATTGCGTCCAGTTTTGGGCCCCCCACTACAGAAAGGATGCGGACAAATTGGAGACAGTCCAACGAAGGGCAACAAAAATGATCAGGGGTCTGGGGCACATGACTTACGAGGAGAGGCTGAGGGAACTGGGCTTGTTTAGTCTGCAGAAGAGAAGAGTGAGGGGGGATTTGATAGCAGCCTTCAACTATCTGAAGCAGGGTTCCAAAGAAGATGGAGCTCGGCTGTTTTTAGTGGTGACAGATGACAGAACAAGGAGCAATGGTCCCAAGTTGCAGTGGGGGAGGCCTAGGTTGAATATTGGGAAACACTATTTCACTAGGCGGGTGGTGAAGCACTGGAATGGGTTACCTAGGGAGGTGGTGGAATTTCCATCCTTAGAGGTTTTTAAGGCCCGGCTTGACAAAGCCCTGGCTGGGATGATTTAGTGGGTGTTGGTCCTGCTTGGAACAGGGGGTTGGACTAGATGACCTCCTGAGGTCTCTTCCAAGAATCTTCTATGATTCTTCCTTGTATCCTGTTCCTCCTGGAATCCCCCTAAGAGAAATTACTGCCCCGACCCCACCTGAGGGAAATATCCAATACCAGTGCCCCCCAGAGACCCCCTCCACATACTCAGTGCCCCGCAGAGCCCCTACCCCCAGCGCACCCCAAAGACCCACTCCCCACGCACTCAGTACCCCGCAGAGCCCCCACCCCGCAGTGTGCCCACTGCCCCCACATACCCTGCAGTGCCCAGTGTCCCCCACAGACCCCGCCCCCC